ATATGATTTTGTCTACATTCATATCGACACCTGCTTACCCACACCCAGACTCTCAGTCTTATTTTGTTTTATTTGTGCTTAACTTACCTGTGCTCATCGTTCCTTGTGCTTAACTTTCCGTGCTCATCTTTCACCAATCCCGGTAACACTACTCTTGGCTATTTCCATGGGGTTTCTAGCAAAAAAAACACAAGTATCACCAAGTCCCGTGAAAAGCATCTCATATTGTACATATCAATAAGTTATATTTATGGTAAAAACATCAGCCCTAAATATTGTTCCTTTCAGGAGATATCCTTGCCACAAGTTTAGCTAAAATTTTTCAAAAATCATAAAAAATTGAAAAACTCGCAAAATTCGCAAAATATATTTTCCCCGACCTATTTGCAATGAATCTAGGACACTTGCTCGCGGCACTTTTGCTCGGCGGACTTTTTCTCGCTAGACACTTGCTCGTGGACACTTGCTCACCGGATACATGCTCGTAGGACATTTGCTTGGCTCCATACAAAAACGGACACTTGCTCGCCGGAGAGTCGCTCGCTATACCATGTGCTCGTTAAATATTTATGCATCGTTTCTCATATGTAAAAAAACTTTATCTAGTTGTTGTTAGCATTTTTTTAAGTGGGTGTGGGTGGGTGTGAGTGTCTATTCAAGAAAGACAGACTCATCTACAGCCACAACCATGTTCTCATGCACACCCAAACCCAAACCCGCACTCCCACTCTTACCCACACCCACACTCACACCCTCACCCTCACCCACACTCACCCTCACCCACACTCACACGCTCACTCTCACCCTCACCCACACTCAATGGCTTAAAAATAATATGATAATGATAAACTAAATAATTAAAATTAGGATTTTTGTTTAATTTCAAAATTGAAAGAACAAATAAATTTTTTTTGAACATATTAAAATAGATATATTCTGTATTTAATTTCATTTCAGTCTAAAAGTTTACTTATTATAATTTTATACACACACAATAAGAATAATTTACAATTTTCAGAGTATATTACTAAATTTCTCTTAAAAAGGTCTCTTTCGACAGATAAAGTTAATGGAACTATGTGATATGAGTATAATAAAAACCACTTTTTTCTTATTCGTATTTATAGTATAGATATTAATTTCCATGTTAACGAGCGCCATCTAATGGACATGTCATATTTCTTCATAAAACATCCAATGAAATTTATTTTTCTTGTATGGATGATCGTAACATAGTTGTTGTCCTTCTTAGATGATAATAAGTGTAGGTTGTTTATCATTGACGAAGTTAAAAATTTACAGATAACTTCTTTCATATCTTCAAACATATCAAAGAATGACGGCAGCAGCTAAAACCTCCGCAATCTATCGATTAATTATGGTAAAAAAAGCAAAAAAGTAATTGAATCTTAAAAATATTTCATCATTTACTTAGGTCGGAAGTGGTGGTGTTGGTAAATCAGCATTAACTCTTCAGTATATGTACGATGAAGTAAGTACAGACTCAACTTATTTAGTAAAATATTAGAAAAATTTTCATTTTAGTTTGTTGTTGATTATGAACCAACGAAAGCTGATTCATATCGAAAAACAGTTATGCTTGATGGCGAAGAAGTTCAAATTGATATATTAGATACAGCTGGTCAAGAAAATTA